CTGGGTGCCAGGGCCCCGGGCTGGGGAGGTGCTGCTGCCAGGCGCCCCCTTCAGAACCAGCCAGCCCTTGCTGGCTCTGGTTCAGACTTAGACAATGTCGGAAGCCATGTAACCCTGCCAGCCCAGCTTCTGCAGTTGAAAATCCTCCTCCTGGAATGGGGCATCTGTTCTCGTGAATAGCTGTATTAGCTGTGAAATGACACAGTTCGGTACCTAACTTAATAATCTGTCTTCTGCTCTTTGAAAAGCTCATTGACTTGGATTTCATAAGTATGTACAGCAGCCATATACCAAGTATTTACTAAAACAGATACTGAAACAAATGCAAAAATTAATTTGACTAATTAAGGTACTAAAGGTACTAAAAATTTTTAAGTCATTACCTTTTGAGTGGGTTTGAACTCTTACAAGAAAGTGATTGTAAGAAATGTCTTTTCTCATTTTTCAGTGAACCTTATTTTCTGATACTTAGATTAAAACTACATTTTAAAATAATGCTTCAGATGTTTTCCAGTAGTTCCTTGATTACAATTCACTGAAAACTCTGGTCTCACCATTTTCATCTTTCTTAAAATAGCCAGGCAGGGCATCAATTCAGGACTTGCGCCGTTGTGTTGTGTCAGTTTGAGATTCTTCCACCCTGACTGCTGAAGCTGCGTGTGGTCTGCATGGCCAGTCGCCAGGGCTGGAGTGTGTCAGAGCCCGCCTCTCAGACACGGTGTGAGGCTGCCCTCTAGTTCCTCCTGAGCACCTGCCAGCAAGACTTGCCCACCATGTCCCAACTGACGGCACCTCTCAAGAGGCTCGAGCCGCCCCCACACACAGCCATCCCAGGCGCCGCTCCTCGTGGGCGACCCCTGTAGGCCCTGCAGTGGGCAGCAGGGACCACCGGGTCTCCTCAGCTGAGGGTGAGGTCTGTGTTGTGCAGAGGTTTCGGGAGTTGATTCTCCACCTCGTGTCTGCAGAGTCACGGTCAGGCGTCACACCCCGTGATCCTCTGTGGCTCTTGCTGCCTCCCCACAGTGCCTTGTGGCCAGCTTCTAATTCACGTGTTCCTTTGGATCTGAGGTGCTGTTACTTGAACTCTACCCATTTAAAATTGAAATATAAACTTCATATAGACAATTTTTTGTTCATCAGCCAGCTTAGAGGTGTACTGTGAAGAAAACGTGCCGTGAAAAAAAAAATACTTAATTCTGAATTGGTTTGATGCTCAGCCATTGATTGAAAGACGCATCCCAACTTTAGACACATTGAAATGTTAGGGGAAGAAAGAGTACATTTTCATGATGATGGAAGAATAATAGTCTTTGCCCAATTACAAGTTACATCAGTTACTTGGAAAATGCTCTAATCAGGCACCATTGTTTACCAGGGTCTTGTTGAGCTATTAAGTCAGAGTTTTGTGAATGTAGCAGTATGTATGTGTATAAATTATATCAAGAACCATAACACTTACTTTTAACAGTTGTTGTTCAGTTGTGTCTGACTCTTGGCGACCCCAAGGACGGTAGCCCGCCAGGCTTCTCTGTCCATGGGATTTCCCAGGCAAGAATACTGAAGTGGGTTGCCATTTCCTATTCCACGTTTTGTGTTGTATTTAGTATTTCCATATGTTAAATACAATTAGTGGTGTAATGAGCACACTGATGGGTGAACTTGTATGTGCTTCCTCAGTTGTGTTTCCTCTAAAATGCATCTTTTTTCCTTGTAACTTTTTAAACATTATTATTTTTTTAAATTATACGCAATTTAAAATATTTTTTGGCCACACCATGTGGCATGCGGGATCTTTGTTCCCGAATCAGGGACCCAAACCCACGCCCCCTGCAGTGGAAACTTAAGAGTCTTAACCACTGGACACCAAGGAAGTCCTTTTCACTTTTTAATTTATACATAGATGAGTATATTCTAATAAAAACCCAAAATTCTAGTGGCACCCAGCTGTCTATAGAGTAGGAGGTGGTCACTTACCAGCTTGTTGATCACCGGAGGAGGAAGCCCCGTGGCCTTGGCTTGTGGCCTCTTGGACCTTTCCCTGAGTTACATGCACACGGAGTGTGCGTGTGTGCCAGAGCCCAGGTATTTCGGGCTCAGTGAGGGAACCTTCGTTCAGTCAGACCTGTGATCAGCTGACCCCAGAGCGTGAGGTTCAGCCCGAGAGCGCCTTGGTCTCTCTGAACAAATCCTTCCTGTTTCTGCCACGTGCAGCTGACAGTTTACACGCCACGTGTTTTTGGATAGAACTTCTTTGTGATTCCTCTGCTGTCTCAGTCTTTGTCGTGTTTGTGTTGGAGTCTGGAAGTCTGAGATGGCTCCTTTTGATTTTTTTTCTGTTTGATATTTTCATTTGAAACTTTAGCTCTGCCTCTGTATTAACATTTTCAAATGTAGAAAGAGGCAGGAATCTGCCTTCCTTGTTTTTTTAGCTACTGTGTCAGGATTCTGTTTGCAGAGAGGGAAAGTCGCAGAGTGATGGTTCCCTGACCCCAGTGTGCCAGGACTGGGGAAGGGGTGGGCGAAAGGCTGTGGGTGCACCGCCCTTAACCTCTCAGAAGGTCCCTGTGGCTTCTGTCATGGCTCGCTGGTACCTGTAAGTGCAGGAGGTCCGTGATCTTTTAAGCACCTGGGCCCTCAGGTTATTGTCGCTGCAGCTGGTTTTGTGATCCCGCTACTCTGATTCATGACAGAGGACCTCGCACCATGATGGTCACAGCATAGAAATTTCCTTGAGAGATGTGGGAACGGGTGATGTGGGCCCTGGGAGATACGATGACTAAATTGTATGCTGATGAGACTCGAGTGTGGTTTTAATGCAGAGGTCTTGTCAGCTGTGAGATTCTGTAGAGGCTTTGCTGCATGAGACGAGCAACCATCCTCATTTTCATTCTTGAGTAGAAAAGATCAAACCTCTTCCTCGACATTGTTCTGTAAAGCCCTTTGGAGAACTGAAGGCAGGTGCGTGTTCACTCTCGGAAGCGGTGATCGACAGAAGGCCCTGCTGTGTGTCCGATGCTGGTGTGAAAGTGTGCTGTCCCGACCATCATAGGTCGTTTCACAGAGTGATGATGCTTCTTGTGATATCACTCAGTCAGTTGCTCAGTCATGTCCGACTCTGCGACCCCGTGGACTTCAGCATGCCAGGCTTCCCTGTCCATCACCAATTCCAGGAGCCTACTCAAACTCATGTCCGTATTGAATAGCAGCATCCCAGCTCTTTCATTAGGACTGTGTACCTTTTCTAGGTTACTTGACCGTTTAAGACTTGTGCTTACACATTGAGTTATCCAGCGCAGGGGTCAAACACCTTCTGGATGCTCATTTTTGATGATGTTGTATAGGGAAGGCCAGGTCTTTAGTGACGAGGTCATCAGCAAACTATTTGATCAAAACTTGATTGATCCCACACGTATTGATGGAGTGCCTGCCACAAGCTGGCCCTGAGACCAGGCTGTGAGCCGGCACCCTGTCCTCCAGCTGGACTCCGGTCATCCCCCTGCCTAGTGGGGTGCGGGGGCGCTGCTCCTCCCGCCCACAGGCCCTGTCTAGTGGCTCTACCTGGCCCCCAGCCCTCTCCTGCCCTCGGAGCTTCCTTCCTCTCAGGGTTCCTCCAAGAGCCCGAGCCAGAGGAGCCAGCTGCAGGGTTTTCTGAATCTGCCCAGACGGTTGTCAGACTTGTCGTGTCTTTCCGAACCGATGGGGCCTCCCATTCCAGAGCCACAGCGGTAACCAGCTCGAGAGGCCCTGCCTGCCCAGAGGAAGAGCTCCAGGGTGCACCGGAGCCTCCTTGTCCAGCCAGGCCGCCAGCAGGATCCAGCAAGTGTCCTCCTCCTAACATGTGCTACAGCAGTTGTGAAATTATAGATGCGGTTTATTCCGTATCTCAGACACGCATGTCATTGGTGCGTCTCACTGGCGGAACAAGACAAGGCAAGTCAGCAGCCGTCCGACTCCCCGCTGGTTACGTGCGGCCCGGAGGGCAGACCCCGGGAAGCGGAGGTGTGTGTCTCACATGGCCATCCTTTCCACTCTGCAGTGGCGTCTGGGGGGTTGGAGTGCCTGTCTCCTGATGCTTTCACGTGTTGGGTGTGTGGAACGTGAGCTTGGATTTGACCACATCGGCTCGGCTGCTCTTTTTCCAAGTCTCCCGGCCAGTTGCCTGGCTCCTCCAGGCCTCTGTCCTCACTCAGCATCTCTGCCCCTCTGTGCTCTGTTATCAACAGTGCTGGGCGCAGGGGAGCGTGTGCTCCTGGTGCTTGGGTGTGCTGACCGCTCACCAACAGACGGCTGACCCAGGGGTGCGTGGGCCTCCCAGCAGGCGCTGGAGGCGGGGGCTGACGTCCTCGCTAGCAGGAGGGTGCCTGGTGTGGTCACTCACCTGGCGCGTCTGGTCCTGCTGACGACCATGCTGAGCTCGGGGAATTGTGGCTCATGGCTCTCACGACGTGCCATCTGAGCCCCTGGAAGGGGTGGGGGAAAAGGCTCAGGATGTCGTTGGCTCCCAGGCATCGTCGAGATGGTAGGAGCTTTACCTTCTAAGTCTTGGGAATTTGATAGCTATTTTGGTAAAATTACTACGTTTCAGTGTGGTATGACTTACTACCTCTTCTGATTAACTGAAAACTGGACTCACGGCTTAAGCAGTAGCAGGCTTGGGGTGATGTTTTGTTTGAAAAGTCAGTGGTGGCCTCGCTGACGCCGCCGATGCGCTGTGAACAGGGTGTTGAGGGTTTGTCTCCTGTTCCATCCCGTCTGGGCTTTCAGTGGCTTCACTTGCTTGTAGACTGCGCGCTAGGACTGTAGGCGTGGGTGGCTGCAGGGAGGCGACCCTGCGGGTGAGGGTCACAGCGGGCTGTGAGCTGCGGTTGGTGCGGGACGAGACGTCAGCGGTCTGGCCCCACCTTCCTGGCTGGGCACCAGGTGGTCCTGTCAAGTCGTGCGTGCTCTCAGGTGGACTCACTGTGGAGCTGATGTTGATAGTAGTATTGTTTTTGATGTTGATATTATTATTGAACGAATTTCACTTTATCTTCTTTTCCTTACTAGTAATCAAACTTGGAATGGAACCAGGTAGATTTGACTTGATACATAATTTCTGGGAGTAGGTTATTTGCTCCCTTATCTTTAATCCTGCCAAGTATCTGAGGGTGGCATGTCCTTCCTTCCAGCAGAACAGTGACCCTACGTTGCCACCCCCAGGGGACTGGCAGAGAAGTGACTCTGGGGGCTGGGGTGTGAGGTGGCTTTCAGAGCCCACCGGTCTCTCCTGAAGCCACTGCTTTTTATTTTATATCTTTGTTAGAAACAGTGGAGTGGGGGAGGGCTGAACTGACTTGGGTTCCTCACACCTTGGTCCCTGGCTCCGGAGTCGTGGCCTGGGCCCTTGTTGCTGACCCGGGGTGTTGTCTCAGTGGGTCAGGCAGACCTGGCCGCTGAGACTCGGGCCTGCCAGGCTCCTGAGGTCAGGAGTCTTCTCCTGGCCTGGCCTGTCTCAGACCCCACAGTGAGGGCGCCCCTGGGCCTGGAGCACACCCGCGTGAGGTAAGGCCCCTGGGTAATGGGGTCCCTGCTCCGCCTCCGTTGGGAGCTCCCTTCAACTTTGATGGATGGCATTTTCTCAGTTTTTTAATGTCAGGTCACTGAGATGTTTCTTTTGGATAAGACTTTAAACATGAGTCGAAAGTTTTGGTGAAATGCACTCCTGTTACTCTGGGGTGCTAAACTGTGCTGTGGGATTGCATCCCCACAGAGGGGTCACCTCATCCTGTACGCTCAGAGGAAACAAGAAACTGGGTTTTAATTAGCCGGAGATACGCTTTAGTGTCATGCTGATCTCAGAACGAGGCGTGTGGTTACATCTAATGGTGACTCTGGTGTGTTTCTCTTTTGTCCACTAGGCTGCATGAGGAAATAATTGACTTTTATAACTTCATGTCCCCTTGTCCTGAAGAAGCTGCCATGAGGAGAGAAGTGGTGAGAAGGATCGAGACGGTGGTGAAGGACCTCTGGCCAACGGCTGATGTGCGTATCTGCGCTGTGCACCGCCGTGCGGTGGGCGCCCTATGTCTGCGGACCTGTGCAGAGCCGGCAGGCCGGCCCCGCTGTGGTGCTGGCGGGGTGGTGGCCTCAGCTGGAGCTTGTTAGAGACGCACGTGCCCCTGCCAGCCCCACTGAGGGAGACCCCGGGAACTCGGGGTTGGGGGCAGGGTTCTGTGCTCAGCTCGACCCCCCCCCCCCCCACCAGTGGTTCTGAGCTTCTGACATCTTCAAGTGTGAGGACCATCTGCTTTGGAGAATTCTTTTTTGGAATCTTGTGATTATTTTTCTTGTTTGTAGTTTACCCTAATATAAGGTTACCCCTTCCCGCACCACACTGCATTGCAGGGTTCCATTCCATGAACCCTAGAAGTGTTTGCTCGCAAACCGCTTCCCCAGTGGGTGAACCATGTGTGCTCATGGAGGCGTGCTCCATGGGCCCTGGGCACCTGGGGGGCAGTGAGAGAAGGCCCTCTGGTGCCCTGGCACCCCTGCCCCCACTGCAGCAGTTTCATCCTTGCCCTTGGGTGCCCTGGGACAGAGCCCTGTGCTGTCCACAGCCTGGGCACCAGTGCTGCGTGGCTGTGGGTGCCGCCAGGAGCTGCTTTGTCCTTTGATTCTGAGTTTTGGAGAATTCCTTTTGGGGCAGGCTTTTACCTTAAGGCTGGAGAGGATGCTGCTGGTCAGTGGGGCCCCAGGCAGGAGCTGAGTGAGCAGTGGCAGGTCTGAGCCGCGCGCCTTCTGTTGCAGGTGCAGATATTTGGCAGCTTCAGCACTGGCCTCTATCTTCCCACCAGGTGAGCACCCACTCCGCACAGATGAGGGCGTGGTGGACGAAGCTGGGGGTGAGGGGCGGCGTCTGTGTGCGTGCTGAAGGCTGAAAGCAGGTTCCTTGTGTGCAAATCTGAGGCTGGAAAAATGTAAGCTAAAGGAAAAGACCAAGGAGCACTGGGGCCAAATTTCGGGAAGCAGACATTGAATTTACTGTTAGGATCATTGATTGCTTTGCCTGTTTCCTCTTGCACTTACTGGGATGGGCTGCAGAGAAGATGAGAGAGGAGGGGGCGTGAGGAAGGTGGGAGCTGTGGAGTAAGTGCAGCAGAAACAGTCTGAGCTCTTCGGATATTTTTGAAAAGTTGCTTTTACATTTTAATGAAACTTCAAGCAAAGTTACATTTGAATAGTATTTTGTGAGGATTTTTAATTGATAGAAAAACATCAAACAGGTGTTTGCATTTTAGAATCATTCTCCAGAGTTTCCTCATAAAGGGCTTTTTAATGTCTAGTTTTATGTGCATCATTTTATTAAAAACGTACATGCTGCTAAACCAGTTTAATCCTCAGAGACTAAAGAGACTGTAGCCTCAGGAGTTTTGGGGTGGCATTGGCAAGGCCGATGGGGAGCTGGGTCCACCGCAGGTGTCCGGGCGTCCAGGGCCACGCAGACGGGAGGACCAGGCTTCTGTGGTCCCCACGACTCGGTCAGCATCTGCTCTCCACCCGTGTTACAGGCAGTTCACAGACTTCATTTTCTCTCACTGAGAGGGAGGGCCTGGTGGGGTGCTGTTGCCCCTGGAAGCACTGCGGGCCTGCAGCCGGCGTGTTACCGTGCAGACCGGGGGCGGGTTCACGCTCGCTTCTCTCCTGTCCAGTGACATCGACCTAGTGGTCTTCGGGAAGTGGGAGCGCCCCCCGCTGCAGCTGCTGGAGCAGGCCCTGCGGAAGCACAATGTGGCCGAGCCGGGCTCCATCAAGGTCCTGGACAAGGCGACGGTGAGTGCCGCTGCTGGGCGCCCCGCCCGAGCAGCCTGTGGGATTAGCTGACGTGGTTCACAGCGGGTACTGGTTCTGTTTGAAGACCACTCCACTTCTTGTGTGAATGTGCTTGTGTTGTTTTGTAGTTAGGGTTTCTAGCTGACGATATGTTTAGAGGCCGTCTGAAGTACACATTGTACTGCAAACACTGAACTCCTCCTGCACTAGAATACACAACTAGGTCGTCCTTTGTGAAGCCGTGCAAGGAGGGGATGATCATACCCGAGGCAGGGCACACTCAGAGGCTGCCCTCTGTGGAGAGTGGAGCCCAGTGATCAAACCGTGGTGTTCATTACATAGAAAAAGTTACTGTTTGCCAAGTTACACTTCAGAAAGAAAAACTCCTGTTCCAGAAATTTCCACATATGAAAAAACATACTTCCCTCAGGCAGAAGGTGGATGATCAGGCCTCTCTGTTGTGTATGTCAGGGTCTGTCCAAGCCCAGAGCTCTGCACAGCCCAGGAGCCCTGTGTCAGTGGCCTGCTCCCTGATGCTCCTCAGTCTTGGCCCCGCCCCTCCGGCCACGCCCCCTCCGTGGCTCTGTCCCTGGTGCCGGGTGGCTGCTGGCCTCTGAGCAGGCATCGGTGTTTACATGCAGAGCAGCCGAGGGGGCTCAGCCTGACTGTCCTGAGCAGCCCTCAGAATGTGAGTTTGGCAGTGTTACTACTAGTTCCCAGCATCGGGGTTCATACTCATAGGAGCATGGGGTATGTGTGTCTAAACTCCTTTTGTGTTTAAGGAGAAAACCCTCTGTATAACTTGGGAAACATTTTGATACCTGACCATAAACAATGTTGCCTGTTAAAGCAAGTTTCCTAAATTAAATCTTTGCAGGTACCAATTATAAAACTCACAGACCAGGAGACGGAAGTTAAAGTCGACATCAGCTTTAACATGGAGACCGGGGTGCGGGCAGCAGAGTTCATCAAGAATTACATGAAGGTGCTGTCAGCGCAAGTTAGCATGGTGCAGATAAGGGGCTTGTTAAGTTCACTGACCTTTCCCTTATAAATGTTGAAACCGTTAAACTGATGATAATCTTTAATGAGAAAGACGGTTACAGGTGGATTTACCTTAGAGTGTTATTTCTTTGAAGTTACATGGCTGTTTCGCAGCTTTGCCTTCCTTTTCCTAATTTAGATATTTGCACATCATTATAGAGATCTTTCTAGTTATGACACAGGGACCATCCCTGCAGCTCCTTGTGCTTGATTTGCAAGTTGAGTACATCACAGTGGAGCCTAGGTTTGCTCTCTCTTGGGGAGGGGGGTGGGGGCGGCCGTCTCAGTGCCTCAGGATGGAAGGCGTTCCTTGAGCTGAGGGACTCTGGACTCTGACCAGGCGTGTGGTGCAGTTGAACGGTGCGTCCCTCCCTGTTCAGAGAGCTGCGTTGTCTGGACCCTGCCTCTGCTCCCAGTTTGAAGCCTTGCTCCTCGGGAGCCTCTCGCTCTGCAGGCAGGCTTGTTCTCAGTCCCTTCTGCCGCAGCAGCGCTGAAGCCCAGCGAAGGCAGCCGGGCCCCTGCGCCCCTTCTCAGCGCCGCTTGCCCCACGGCTCCTTGTTCCCACGCCTTGCTCTCCACCCTTGTCCTGCATCCTGCTGGCCTCCTGCCTCGTCGTGAGCTGCCCAACCCTCGCTTGTCTCATGGGTGCCTCTTGAGTGTGGGCGTTTTGTCCACTGGTTCTGGGACCTTCCCTCGCCCACAGCTGCACCCACAGAGCCCTGTGCTCAGCGCCTGAGAGCGGGCAGAGACTTGGAGGAAGCACCTGTTCATTCCCCACGCCCCTGGGCCTGGGGTCTCCATGCAGGCCCCCTGCCTCAGCTGTGCTAAACCATAATCTGAGGAGGGGCCCCCAGGAGGGCCCTAGTGAGCCCCCCTCATGGATCTCTTCTCAGGCCCCTGTGGGGTAAGGAGGCCTGGCCTTGAGCGTCCCAAGGAGCAGGACGAGGAAGTGAGCTTCCTGTCTGCACGTGGAGTCTGCCCAGTGCGGACTCTTCAAAGCCATGGTAACTAACCAGATGCTGTCTTTCTTTTGGAATTTGCAGAAATATTCGTTGCTGCCTTACTTGATTTTAGTACTGAAACAGTTCCTCCTGCAGAGGGACCTGAACGAAGTTTTTACAGGCGGGATTAGCTCGTACAGCCTCATTTTAATGGCCATTAGCTTTCTGCAGGTGAGTGTGCTTTGTCTCAGGAACTCTTGACCTTGAGGCTGTCGTGGGCCTCATTGTTCCCTGGTGTTCTGACTGGGGTCTTCTCGGCTTCCAGCTCCTTGCTGTCCCTGCACAGCTCTGTTTTGATGTAGTAGAAACTGACTTCTAATCTTGATGATGAAACTGCTTTGATCAATACTTTTTTCCTTTGCACCTGTTTTTTTTGTGTCTGTTGTAACTGATAGAGGGTTTATCTCATTTTATCAGTCAGGTATATATTGACCTAACCCTGAAGAACCATTATGTTTAGAGAAATTTTATGCCTTGAAAGACAGTGAAAACCTTTCCTTGGTTCTTGACTGTCATTTATACTGAAAAATTTGTCTCAGAAAAAAAGTTGAGTCTCAAACATGGTAAAAAAAAAAAAAAAAGCTTTTCCCTGGGTGATGAGAAGCCGGTATTTTTCTTTGTCTGTTGCCCATATTTTGTTGAGTAGCGTGGAAACACCTGTCAGAAAACCCAGCCGAGTGTTGCACGCTGTGCCACGCTGACGACCTGTCCTCGCGCCGCGTTTTAACGTGTGGTCTCTGCGTGAATCGAGGCACGGCCGTGCCGTTGCACTCGTCAGCCCTCTGCTGTGTTCTGGCCGCACGGCGCTGCTGCTCTGCTCTGTCTGTGGTGGCACTGAGGGTTTTGTGTCGAGACTCGGGCCGTCTGTCTCGGCTCCGTTGGCACTGCTGACGGTGGAGCGGCTGGGCCCAGCGCCCTGCACCCTGGGGTCTCCTCGGCGCGCCTCTGGGGAGGCCCCGTGGGCAGGTGGGGCGCGCTCTGCCGTGTCCTCACTGCGCCTCCCTCACGCTGCCCTTAGAGCCCTTCTGCCCGAGGTGTCAGACCTTTTTTTTTTTTTTTTTTAGAACTAAGCATGAAAGCGTGAGCTGCGTCCTTAATTTATTTTCTCCCACTCTCCTGAACTGTCCTGGCAGCCTTGCAGTGTGACTACTGCCCACTCTCCTGGTGCCCGGTTCAGTGACCCTGCGGAGGCCACCCAGGCCTGGGCGGGGCGGCCACTGTCAGCTCCACCCCCCTGGGTGCCCGGCCCTTCCCACCTCCGCCCTGTGTCCGCTGCATCATCTGATCCATGCCGGGCTCACAGAGGTCGTGGCTCACTTGCTTGCCCTGGATAACGCTCAGGCAGGAAGACAGAGGAGGGAGAAGGCCAGACAGCAGCAGCGCTGAGCCTGCGTGAGGTCTCCTGAGCCTGGACACGCCTGCAGCCTGGAGGAGCCACGCTTCCTCCACGGACACTGTGCTGTGAGCGCTTGCACCCGCCGTGCTTCTGCCGGGACTTGGACTCGATGGTCCTCTTCCCGACCGTCACTGTCCAGCAATGCAGGCGGTGCTGTCTGCTTGGTCCGGGATGGCTGCATGCGCCCGCGGGGCGCTGGCAGGACCGGCAAGTTGAATGTTTGGTTTCTTTAAACTTGTTTAAATTCACGGCTCAAGGCCGTCACAGTGGGCCATGCACTCAGATTCCTGAGCCTTTTAGTGACACTCGGGAGGGTCAGTATACAGGGGCTCAGCTTCAGAATAAATCCGTTAGCTGCTGCAGGAACAGGTGGAGTGGAGCTGAGGCTGAGGCTGATGCTAAGCTGTTTGCCAGGCAGTGAGGTGAGTTTGCTGTAAATACTGGTGCAGAGCTGGTGACTATTCACAGTTAGGATTAGTCCTTTCATTCATAGCACAGTGATACGCTTCGGTCTCACACTGCCCCCTGCTGGTTGCACTTCAGAATAACGAAATTAGTACTAGAATCTAGAAAACTGCCTCCACCATCTAGGTGACTCCGAATTGTACAGAATATGGTCTGCTCACTTACCAGTATTTGGGAATTTGGGATTAAACAGATGTCTGTGTGGCTTCTGAATTTCATAGGATTGAAGTATAATTTAAAGATTCAGATGAGAAGATTTTCTTCCTCTTGAGCACTCTTGGTTGACAAGTGATCCAGGCTCTACTGGTGCCTCCTGGCTGCCAGGGTGGTGGGTGGACGAGGGCCCCTGACTGCGTCCTGGGCCGGCCGTCTGACCCCGCCACGTGCGTGGTGTCTCCAGTGCCCAGAATCCATACAAACTGGGGTGCCTCACTTTCACAGCTGCATCCGAGAATCGACGCCCGGAGAGCGGACGAGAACCTAGGGATGCTGCTCGTGGAATTTTTTGAACTCTACGGAAGAAATTTTAATTACTTGAAAACTGGTATTAGAATAAAAGAAGGAGGTGCCTATATCGCCAAAGAGGAGATCATGAAAGCCATGACCAGCGGATACAGACCGTCGATGCTGTGCATTGAGGACCCCCTGCTGCCTGGTAAGGACCCTTGCTCTGCGTGGGTCCCCAGCTGCAGGCTCTGGGCTCCGGCCGCCGATGCCAGCCGGGCAGGCACTGGATCTCATGTAGGGTCCTGCTGCTCTACCGGGTCAGGGGTGGCACGTCAGAATTCCTTGTTAATACTTCTAAATAACTTACTGTAAAGTTGCAACTTCGTTTACTTTCTATAATCAGAAAAATGTAGAACGTGTGAATTAAGAAAAAAAATTCCATTTTTTCTGAATAGAGATGTATTCCCTGTCCGTCATAAGCCATCTGTTTCCCAGGAGTCCGTCGCACAGGAGAGTGAAGCGTGCCATAGCCTGCCCCCCTTCTGTGCGTGCCTCTCCGGGTTCCCGCATGTGGGTGTTGACATCGAGTGTCGCTTCCCTATTAACTGGGTGTGTGCTCGGTCGTCTTCAGCTCTTTGCGACCCCATGGACTGCAGCCCACCAGGCTCCCCTGTTCACAGGGTTCTCCAGGCAAGGATACTGGAACGGTTGCCATCTCCTGCTCCAGTTAATTGGATGACATCACATAATACAGACAGCTTTGCCGCTTGTGGTTTTACTTGACAGTAAACCTGAGACTCCTCTCCTGTGTGTGGAGGGAGGTTCCGGTGTGAGGCTGGCTGCCTTGCAGAGCCTGGCAGCTTAGGGTGTGTTTCCCACACCTCTGCTGACCGTCTTTGAGATCTCTGCCCGCCTGATAAGGCCAGCCATGTCCCTTTTCACTTACTGTACTTTTCTCTAGTGATGGCTGAGGTTAAACAGAGGGTTACTGGTCAGTCCCACAGGCGTTTATGGAGGGCTTATTGGGTGACACACTGCTCTTATGGTGGGTGATACAATCAGAGGCAGACAGGCGACAGGCCAGGTGGCGAGGTGGCCGGTGCCGGGTGCAGTGCCCCTTCGTGGCTTTCTGTGTGAGCTTGTGCCCTTCGTCTGTCCGCCCGCCGCACTGTCTCCCCTGGTTTTGTAAGGTCCTCTGAGGTCAGGGAAGCCTTTCTTTGCTGACATGTTGTACTTCTGTCTCTTGCATCTGTATTTGGTATTTTTTATTATTTCTGTGTGTGTGTGTGTGCGCGCTAAGTCGTTTCAGTCGTGTCTGACTCCTTCTGACTCTATGGACTGTAACCTGCCAGGCCCCTCCATCCATGGGGTTCTCTGGGCAAGAATACTGGAGTGGGTTGCCATGCCCTCCTTCAGGGGATCTTCCTGACCCAGGGATCAAACCCGCATCTCTTTTATCTCCTCTATTGGCTGACAGGTTGTTCAACACTAGCGGCACCTGGGAAGCCATTTGTCTCTTGCATTATATTTGGTGTTTTTTTAGTGTTTAGCTCCTGCATATATTTTTCAACACCCTTAGATTTATGGTTTTTGTTTTGTGGCTCCTGGGGTATGAAATTTATTTCTTAAAAGTCTTCTGAAACTCTCCTCTGTGGTCTGCGTGGTCTGTGTGGCACTTTCTCAGTGGTGCATCTCCCTCCTCCCAGGACAGGCCTCCAGCCCTGGCGTGTCTGCGTTGGGTCAGCTAAGTGGCCGGCAGTTCCTTTGTCTTCAGTGTTTGCTGAAATGTAATTGAAAAAGGAAAACCCACACAGTTACAGAGCGGTCACATGATTAAACCTGGAAAAGAGAAAATTTTGGTGCTTAAGGATATGTTTCCTAGAAAACCTCCCAACCTGAACTCGAGGAATGAATCACGTGTGAACTGAACGTGGACAGTCTGCTGCTCCAGCAAAGGCCGCCCCTTACCCGGGCTCCCTTAATGACCCCGGTGGCGCTTCGTTTCATTTGCTGTCTGCAAATGTGAGAGGTTGCATCTCTGATGATGGCTCTCTGTCTCAGGGAACGACGTGGGCCGGAGCTCCTACGGGGCCATGCAGGTGAAGCAGGTGTTCGACTATGCCTACATTGTCCTCAGCCATGCTGTGTCGCCACTCGCCCGGTCCTACCCCAACAGAGACTCGGAAAGGTATCCTTCCTGGGGGCCGTGGCCCCTGTCATTTGTCTTCACGGAGTGTGCCGCCCTGTTTTAGGAGAACCTGAGAATGCTGGGAAAGGAATGCCTTTTGGGAGTTCAGGGTGGTCCTGGTGGTCAAGAGGTGAAAGATTTTCATTTAGAGAGCTAGGATTTTCCCAGGGTATTAGTTTTGGGGAGGTCAATTTTGGCTTTTAAAGTTGTAGAGTGTGATGTTTTTTTCTCCGGCTGCCCTCAAGAGGTGAGTGTCCAGCCCTGAGGGATGCGTCCCGCCCCCAGCCCCTCTCCCTGCACACCTGTCTTTTGTGCCCCGTTTTGAGCACTCACTTTTCTGGTGTGCGCTTTTACTGGTGAGAAGTCTTTCTTCCTGACCGCAGATCATGCGCCTGTGGAGGTGGGCTGGGATGGAGGGAGGAGCTGAGGGCAAGTGAGAGGCAGGGGTGATGACTATCGCAGGAGGTTGCTGAAGCTGGGCTGGTACCTCCGTCCTCAGAGGTTATGGAGGACGTGGACTTGGAGGCCAGCACGGTGGTGGGGGCACAGGGCTCTGTGGCCTCCATCCCTGGGTGTTTGTGGGCAAAGCTTTGGGCACTCAGTCTCCCCTGTGTGGTGGGAAACGGGGCCCCTGTGGTCATTGGGACTGGGGGCAGGCTTCCCTACCTGGCGTGGACTTACAGCAGTCCTTAGTGGACAGATGGAGGTTCCAGGACTTCTGCATCCATGCTCCCACTTTTTCTGTACCGTGTGGCTTTTGGGTTCAAACAGCAGAAGTCAGTCGTAAGATTACCTTCGCTTTTCCCACTTTTGCTTTAGCAGAGCTCTGTGTTAGGATGTAAGGCGGCCCCTGGATAGTGTGGCCGGCTCCCCGGCACGCTCTGTGCTGCGCTCACGCCCGCGTGCCCTTGCCCTTCCGCAGCACCCTAGGGAGGATCATCAAGGTGACCCAGGAGGTGATCGACTACCGGACGTGGATCAAGGAGAAGTGGGGCAGCAGGGTCCACGCGGCGCCAGACCCCGGTGAGAGGCCACCCGCCCGTGGCTCTGCATGTCCTGACACGCTCGCGCAGGAGTGTCTGCTTTTAGTAACCGTTCACACTAAGAAAGCAACTCGTTTCCTGTAAGAGTTTAAAGCTGTAAGGTTTAGGCCAGTGCTGTCCACACATGGCAGTTCTGAAGTTCCCAGGAACTGCACTGTAAGTGGAAGGAAGCAGGTGAAATTAGTTTTAGTAGTCTGTTTTATTCAACTTCGCACTCAAAATATTATCATTTGAACAGGTAGTCAACATCCAAAATTACTGAGTTTCTTGTACCATGTCCTCCAAAGTGCTGTGTGTGTTTATACCTAAAGCACATCAGGATCACGTTTTGTGTAATGCAGAGTTGAAACTATACATCCATGTTGTTTTGAACATAGTTAAGTGTTCCAATAGCTGAAATGTGACTTAAAATATTAATTGAAATGAAGTGAAATTAGGAATTGGCTTTGTCAGCCTCATGCGCAGTGTTAGAGGCACAGTGGGACCTTGGGCTGAAGTGTGTGACAGCTCACCTTCCTCCCACAGACAACAGGATCAAGATCGCAGAGCGGATGGGCGTGTGCGAGGGGGACCAGCCTCCTCGACGAGACCCTGAGTCTCCCTTCGGCCCACGCCTTACCCTGTCCCTGCCCGGCCCCCAGCTCCGGTCGTCCGGCTCGTCTGCCTCCTCCGTGTCCTCGCTCTCCGGCAGCGACATCGTGAGTGGCCCCCTCTGAGCCCTGGGGCTGCTGTGGGTCGTGGTGTACAAACTTACGTGGAGATGAGACCAGCAGTCTGGGCGTCTCAGTTGTGATTCTGTGATGTTCTTCAGTTTTGACCTGACAGGGAGGAGGCCTGGGCAGAGGGGGCAGCTGATGCTGGGACCCCCTGGGACTCACCCCTGGCCGCTCCTGTTGTTCCGAGGGGCATGAGCCTTGAGTGCAGCCCTCCTCTCTTCCTCCCCCAGGATTCGGACACACCGCCCTGTACGACACCCAGCGTGTACCAGTTCAGCCTCCAGGCGCCCACCCCTCTGCTGGCCAGCCTGCCTGCCGCCCTGCCCATGCCGAGTGGCAAACCTCAGTCCGCCACGTCCAGGACGTTGGTCATGACAACGAACACCCAGGTACACAGCTGGCTGGGCCCTTCCCAGTGACAGCCTGGGACCAGGTCTGAGGTGCTGGGCATGGTAGGATTGACTGACACGTTAGATTAGAGAGAGAACCCTTAGAAGTTCTTGGAACAGACATGTCTGTCCTATAGGACATTCTCATCCTTGGTGGGTTGATAGAATGTGGTCCTGTCATTCTATAGAAGTCCGTGTTCTTGAGCTTCAGCATATGCCGTGTTTGCACAAGGGGACTCTGGGTGTCTGGGCCCAGAGCTGGCTCTTGACAAGGTTCACATGGTCTTTCTGCAAGTGACGATGCTCAGCAGGAGGCCACCATCCTGGGATGATGCTGAGAGGGCCCTTGGTGCTGTCCCTCAGCCGAGAAGGATGCCATCCCTGATTTCCTCAAAGAATCCCGTTGTTTGCACTGTTTTCAGATTTGATACGAACACTGACTTCTCCACGTTATTCACTACATACTCTTATAGACTTTCTTCTATAATAGTATGTCCTTTTTCAAAAATTTGAGACAAAATTAGTCTAAAAGATAGATTTTTAGAGGTAATTTTCGGTGTTTTAGATTTGTAGCTTCTTCCCAAATATACATCAACTCCATATGTATGAACTCATCACATTAACGCACTTCTGAAGTAGAGTCGGCTTTCACAAGCAGTTGTAATCTGAGCAGAAGGTGATGGGGATTCCTGCTTGTCCCCACGTGTCTCTGCGTTGCTGGGCTCCCCACACAGGTGGGGCGTTTTCAGGACACACCCCAGGCTAAGGGGGTGTGGAGGCAGCAGGCATGGGATGCACAGTGGTGGCCATCAGCACAGCCCCCCAGGAATCTTTTCCTGGCACATTAATAAGTGAGGAACACGGAGGCAGTACCTGCATGTGGACGAGAACTGCCACAGACTGACTTGGCTTTGACCTCTCCTCGGGCCTGGCTCCCTCCAGAGCCGTGTGCAGGCGCTCCCCGCGCTGCACCTCCTGGGTGGCGTCAGGACCACGTGCTGCCTCTGGTCCGCTCTGTCACCTGCACAGATAGTGAGGCAAAAGGTAAGGCCACTCAAGTTTTTTTTTTTTTTTAAAAGCATGTTTGTTTATTTCACTTGGCTGCCCTGGGTCTTAGTTGTGGCATGTGGGATCTAGCTCCCTGACCAAGGATTGAACCTGGGCCCCCTATATTGGGAGCGTGGAGTCTGAACCACTGGGCAACCTGAGAAGTCGTCATTCAAGGTTTAAGACAAAAAGCTCAAAGCCCATTTTGTCATTTTACTGCCACACTGCGAATGTCACTTCCAGTGGAGTCACTGCGGGAAGTCCCACTCGCAAACTTCCACGTGCTCAGTCTCTTGAGCGCCCCGCTGTGGTGAAGTCTCCCTCATCAGGATGCAGTGAGACGTCACAGCCAGGGCACGAAGCTGTCAAAGACCCCAGGACTGGGCTCCTCTCTGCACCCCTGGGGGCACAGAGCCCCCGCTGAAGGGAGGTCCCGGGTGGGGGGAAGCGTGAGGGAGGGCTGCCTTCCCTGAGGCCGGCTCCTGCCACAGCTGTTGCTCAGGAGGCCACAGCCGCCCTCCTGAGGTCTCGGGGGCGAATGCGGGCAGCTCTAAGGTGAGAGCAGCGAGGGTCTGGAAGAGCAGGGGAGGGGCTCCCGAGCCAGCGCCTCTGCCCTGATGGGAAGGTGGTGCGGAAGTGGGGGGGGGGCAGAGGTGGGGGCCGTCCATCTGCAGGCCCTCAGTCCACCTGGCCTGGGGCCTCTCACACTGCTCGGCCCAGGGCGCTACCTGGAGACCCAGCGGACAGTTTCTCTGATAATTGTAGTTCTCTTGAAGTTTTTGGTCACCAAAACCTTATGGCTTGGGTGACTGGACATCCTTTACGTTGTCATTGTGCTTCAGAGCAGACTGTTGTGAGGCTGCAGGCAGACACAGACTGAGGGGCCGGTTGTGAGGCTGCAGGCAGACACAGACTGAGGGGCCGGTTGTGAGGTTGTAGTCAGACACAGACTGAGGGGCCTGTTGTGAGGCTGCAGGCAGACACAGACTGGGGCCTGTTGTGAGGCTGCAGGCAGACCCACTGAGGAGTCGGTTGTGAGCGCCCTTCTTGGGGCTCCTGGTAAGAGCTGTGTTGCGTGGGCACTCATGCCGTTTCTGGTTCTCTCCCCCAGACCAGGTTTACTATTCCTGCCCCGACGCTTGGCGTGGCCCCCGTGCCCTGTAGACAGGCGGGCGTCGAAGCCGCCCCGGCGCTGAAGGCCGTCCACCATGTGTCCTCCCCGGCCATCCCTTCTGCGTCCCCCAACCCGCTCTCCAGCCCCCACCTGTATCACAAGGTACGACCCCATGGCCCAGGCGCTGGTCCCCCCCCGCACGCTGGCGGCCAGCCCGCCCTGAGCTCCTTCTCCGCCCCAGAGGGAGTCCACACACGTTCTTTGTTCTCCAGGGGCAGTTTGATCATTCAGCTTCATGTTTGCTTTCTCTGTAACAAGCAAAGCTTTATAAGTGTTAAATTATTTTAAAATTTAGTATAGTTTAATTCACCTGTAAGCATCTTTTTTTTTTTAATTGAATTTGTTAGCATAAAAGTTCGAACTGAAGAATATCTCACTCCCATTTTTCTGTTAATTCGCGCAGTAAGCTTTTGTTCTCAGGAAGCAAACGATGAAGCAGGAATGATGACGCCGCACACGGCGTCGCCCCTCACACCACTGCACTGCGCCCGGTCTTGCTGCCGGCGCCCTGGGCGGGGGTGCTGGCCGCACTGGGCTGGGCTTTCTGGCGCCCGGGGCCCTGGGGGGCATGGGCCCACTGCCGTGGGGCCGCTCTGAGTCTTCCCTACACGTTAGAAACACGGTTCAGAAGAAAGGCCGGGCGGTTGGGCAGAGCTGTGGCCGGGGTCCGGGCTCCCGGCCCATGGGGGAGTGGGGCTGCGGTGGCGTCCGTGCAGGCCGGCCTCGAGCCGCCCCTCTGGGTCTCCGCAGCAGCACAGTGGCATGAAGCTGTCCATGAAGGGCTCGCACGGCCACGGCCAAGGCGGCAGCTACGGCTCAGCGGGCACGGGTGGCGCACGGCCTCCCGTGGGCAACAGGGGCCACCACCAGTACAACCGCACCGGCTGGAGGAGGAAAAAACACACGCACACCAGGGACAGCCTGCCCGTCAGCCTCAGCAGGTAATGCTCCGGCGGCCGCCGGCCCGCCTCGCAGACGGCAGGGGCGGCCACGGGGCCCGGCCCGGAGACCAGGCCCGGCCAGCCACGCTGCATGCCCTGTGTGTGGCCACATCGTCAAGAGCAGCTCCCTGTGTCGTCTGTGAAGCCTTAGACGTGGACGCTGTCTGCTGCCTCCCAGGCGCCGCCTGCAGGGCCGGAGCGGGTCTGCACGGGACCCGGGGGCTGGCTGGGGTCGGGCCGCCTCGGCACCGTGCTGCCCTGCGGGTTGGGTACTTTCATTTCACATTGTCGGAGCAGTGGAGTGCGAACCCCAGTATTTGTAGGGAGGTCATCATTGTTTTACTGCCCTCACATTTTGTTTTGAATTTCAGAACTGTTTTTCTATGTAAATATTGAAAACTTATGATTTGTGCAATAACTCAGATATTTTTTATTTAATTTCATATTTTCACATAAGTTATATTGAAGGGAGGAGGGAATTTTTTTAAACAAGCTTAGATCCTTTCCCGAGTTGCATTTTCTAAGTTGGGTTCATCGTGTCGGCTGGTTGATGACGTCGTTGTGAACACCACGAATGAGGGGCTTGGGTTATTTTTATGTTCCTTCTTCAGGTCAGACGTGAGGCCTCTCAGCCTGCGGTGAAGGAGCCGAGTCCCCCAGTGGGCTCCCTGAGGGGTTCGGCTCCTAAACATTCTGACCAGCTGCCTGCCGGCTCTGCCGTCCGGCCTGTCTGTGGTCCTGCTCTGACCTTGGAGTTTTAATGTTTTGGGTTTGGTTCTTTTAAACTGTAGACAACAGACCCAGCATTTAAAGTGCCAGAGTACAACTTTCTACAGGGAAAAAAGGTTGTCACATGGTAAGATCTTAAACAAGCGTGAACTGTGAACCGCTGCAGGTTTAGTCACGCAGCCTGTCATGACGGGTCTGGCAAGCACAGACAATGGTACCCACTTTTAGGAATGTGGAGAAAGGAGTTAGGTTGATTCCATTGTGGAATCTGTAGCGGTATGCATTCGTTCTGTTAAGAGCAACTATAGAAGAAGTACTTGAGCTGCTTGGCGCGCCGTGGGGGGGGTTTAACACATCGCAGGAGGGCACAGTCCAGTGTCGGGCCCGAGTGGCCGGCGCCCGACCCCAGAAGCATCCTATGCAAGTGTGTTCTGCCACGACAACCACTGTCTCTGTTACCCATCCCGAACACTGACGCAGCCACCCTGCCTCACCCTGGGTTTCCTGAGCGTCGCAGGTGTCCGGGAGGTGGGCGCCTCTCCTGGGTTGTCCGGCTCCCATTTTTAAGACAGGGTTCTGACCCTGCTACACTACAGGCGGGATGGTCTTTGAAGTCCACTAGTGAGAAACGGGACGGGAAGCTTACTGCTGTGACCCGGCACGTGCAGAAGCGGGGCGTCCTTGAGGGTTCTGAGCGCCACACACACCCCGCCGTGTCCGCGGGCCCCAGAAGGCAGGCCTGGCCTGCCTGTGCGGAGAGGGGCTGACGTGCCTGCGGGTTCCCTGGGGCGCCCGAGCCGAGTAGCACAGTTTTTCTGCGGTTTGTGATGATCCAAGGTTATCAAAAATATTTAAAGATATTTAAATTGTGAACCTATTGATAAAGAATTATTTATAAAAACTGATACGTAGGCCTGTACTAATCTCTCCGCATTAGCAATATTGACTGTAACCCTCCACTAAAGAAACACGGCGGGGACTGGGAGCACCGCGGGTGGGCCCGGGACGCAGTCCCAGACTGGGGCGCCAGGCTCCAGCCCACACGGTGAACGAATGAATTGGCCTGGCTCCCTGTGGCCACACGCAGCAGGCTGACAACAAGATATATCATGTTTCGGGTTTTTTTGTGCGTGGACAACAATGTGGAAGCTAAAATTGACATATTTTTATGTAAAGTTTTTCTATTCTTTGATTTTTAATAAACTTTGGAAACCAGGTGGTGGCTGTGTTTGTGTGTATGCCTTTTCCTTTCAAGGCGGGGGCGGGCTGCCCTCTGCGGGTTTCGTTCTTGCCTTGACCAAGGCCAGACAGCCAGCGATCATGTTGTCATTGGTTCATGAACTTGGAACCTGGTGAGGTTGCAGGCTGGGCGTGGGAGAGTGAACCCCATCCTAGGCTAGGTGACAGGATGTGTCAGAGCCGTTTATTGATGCTCTTCATGTGTCGTTTCTGACAAGCCGATGTCACATGGCGCTTAACTTCCCATCAGAATCCTTTGTTCCACCTCTCTCTTGGGTCAACATTATACAACTTCAAAATAGTGTGTTTGAAACCACCGAAAATCATAGCATGGCTTAAAATGTAGCTTACATTTAGATTAGAACGTATAAGGAAATTTATGAAAACTCCCACTCCCCTGAGTTACTGAGCCACTGGGCTCGGCTGCGAGGCCTCTAGCCAGATGCCCCAGAGTCACCGTGTGTGGAGCTCGGCGCTGTGGGGCTGGTGTTGTGGGCCCAGCGTGCCTTCACGTCCTTCTCCAGGAGGCTTCTTGCGAAGACGCTCTGAGCCGGAGTCTGCAGACGCCAGGCCTGGCTCCTCAGGCACCCCCATTGCCATGAGGTCGCAGAAAGCCTCTGAGGGCAGCTGATGGCCCACGACCTCAGTGAAGAAGGGAGCCGAGGCTGGGGGTGCAGAGTGTGTGCCAAGCCTCTGCAGTCGTGTCCCGCTCCGTGTGACCCCACCAGGGTCCTCTGCCCGGGGGCCCCTCCGGGCGAGAACACTGGAGATGATGGGTGCATTTTTCTGAACAGAGTGCCTGGGTTAGCCTTGGGCCTGGGGGCTGGGTGCATTGGGGACCCAGGAGGCGGCCTGGGTGGGGGTACAGCAGCTGGCCGGAGGGGCAGAGGGAGGGTCCCCCTGACTCTGTGGCCACCTCTGGAGAGCGGACTGGAGGAAGGCGTTGGGTGGTTCAGCTGAGAGGACCGCTGCTGGGTTTAGGATCTAGGGATGGCTCGCAGGTGGAGCCGTAGGGCCACTTGGAAGACTCGGGGGCAGAAGTGGGTCTTTGCCCACAGCACTGTCTGCACCAGCTTGGACAGCGTGATTCCAGATGCCCGAGGCCTCCGGGAGGGGCACAGGCTCAGTAGGTGAGCCATGCTGGGAGCCTGGGGTGTGGGCTGTAGAGACTGTGGTCTCAAGTGTAAGCTGGGCCTCACGGGCTCAGGGACAGTGAGAGGGTGCCAGTACTGTATGGCGGGGCCCTGCATCCTACTGGGACGTGGCATGCCGGCATCAGCTGTCTGGAGGGGCCCCTCAGCCTGCCGCCCCCGCGGCCCAGCTCCACGGCCTCAGTTTGACCCTCTGTTGGCTCACCACGTTGTCTCGGGCCGGTCAGCACAGATGCACAGGCTTCCAGACACCCCCGTGCCCCACACCCACAGCCGGAGCTCCAGGATTTCATCTCTGAGTTGCTTTGGGATCTCAAGTGCCCTGTCTTAGCCCCATTCGAGGGACCTTTTACCTGGGCCCCAAGCTGCCTGTGTGCACGGGGTCAGTGGCGTTGGTAATCCAGAAGCAAGTGTATGTTTTTGTTTGTCACACTGTGATGGGTTTTTTAGAATTTTATTTTTTTAAAGTAGAGTTGACATATTAATTGCAGGTATACAGGTATACACCTTGGCTTCCCTGGTGGCTCAGATGGTAAAGCATCTGCCTGCAATGCAGGAGTCCTGGGTTCCATCCCTGGGTTGGGAAGATCTCTTGGAGGAGCGCATGGCAACCCACTCCAGTATTGCCCGGAGAATCCCAAGGACACAGGAGCCTGGCAGGCTACAGTCCACAGGGTTGACAGAGTCAGGCACGACTGAGTGACTGCCACACACACACAACATTATACTTCAGTATTTGTATAGCTTACATAGACTGGGTTTCCACGCTTTCCTCCCAACCCAGGAATCTTCCCGACCCAGGTACAGAACCCAGGTCTCCTGCATTGCAAGTAGATTGTTCACCATCTGAGCCACCAGGGAAGCCCACTCCACTGAAAATCATTATGAAATACTGCCTATATTCACCGTGTGATGATCTGATGAAGCTTTGAGGAGGCTGAGATGCTTATATCCTTACACTTTAGAATTTGCAAAGCTCCTGCCAATCCTTAAGTGATTTAGATGACCAAAGGAAGCTGACTTAAAAGGGATACTGGCTACCATGAAACACACAGTCCCAAAGACCTCACACCCGGGGCTAACTCCCACTGTCTACGAGCTGCTCAAGAAAAGGTTTCTTTATTGCGTTTCCATGGCTCCGTGGGGATGGGGCAGTCCCCCAGTAATGATGAGGAAGCCCTAGGCCACCCCTGGTGGTGTCCTTCACTGTCCATCTCCCAGGATCCCTGGGTCCTGGAGAAGGACCAATTCGTGATTCAAAGGCCCCAAGGTGAATTCTGGGGCTTCCCTGGCTCAGAGGGTAAAGACTCCACTTGCAACGCGGGAGACCTGGGTTTGATCCCTCCCTGAGTCAGGAAGATTCCTGGGTCAGGAGAGGGCATGGCAACGCACTCCAGTATTCTTGCCTGGAGAATCCCCATGGACAGAGGAGCTTGGTGGGCTACAGTCCAGGGGGTTGCAAAGAGCCGGACAGGACTGAGCGGCTAAGCAGCGGCAGGATGAACTCTGGAGCAAGGCGGATGAACCGGATGGACCTGGTGGTAATGGGCTCTTAGGAGGAGAGGTGAGTTCCGCCTGCAGGGAAGCTGCTCAGCGGGCATCCCGGCCTCTGCGGGCCAGCCTGCAGCTCCTCGAGGAGAAACTGCTGAACTCAGGCTGAACCCCTTCGCCTTCCTCCTGGTGTCGGGGGCCACCTGGGTGGATGTGTTCACCCGGTTATGTGCAGACCACCTGGACGTGGTTTTCTCTGCCAGTGTTTGTACTGTAAGATGCTGACCTTCATAAAGGTGATGCTAGAAAAGCGTGCTCCTCCCAACCTCTGGTCCTGGCTCCTCCCTGACTCCCTGGTCTTCTCCTGCACCTGCTTTCTCACGGGCACAGGCCC